AGAAAACAGATGGACAAAGCGGATTATTGAATGGTATCCACGCAATGTTAAAAAACATAGAAGGGTAGACAAAGAATGTGGTGGAAGGATCCGCACGAGCGACTAAAAGAAAACATATGGGCTAAAAAAGCCCAAAAATAGAAGAACAGAGAAATTACTAAATGCATCAGCTGCGAGAAGCGTGGTGACGGAAAAAAGCTGATCAAAATATCAAAGTAATATCTGCTCGCAGCTAAATCACCATTAAAAATCGCAAACAGGCTTGCTATCAAAACCGCCTAGCAAAAATGAACTGCGCACTTCTTCAGCCAGTTTTTGAACTTTTGTTTTTCGTGCACTTTTTGACTCTAATCAAAAAACCTAATTTTCTAACAAAACAAATTTTACAGTTTATGCATTAACAAGTGCATCTCGAACAAGTATATAGATATGGAGCTCTTGCCATGAATCGTGTCAACAGGCAGGGCCAAGGAGAGAAGGATGCCCTCTACCTGCAACGATGATGATTTCTGAGATGCAAAAAAATAAATAAATAAATAAATAAATAATCGGTGCGAAAATGAAAATATTGCGCGTAAGAAATATTTCACTACGAAAATGGTAATCAGTTGCGTTTAGCGTGTTTTTCCAGTACTCGGTCCTGATGTTCCGGAAAACGGTCGTAACTGCTCAGCAGGCCAGCGCCATAATGTGTAAACTGTGAATTGAGCGGATTACTGTGATAAGTTTTCTGCAACTTTCGCCGTCGTCGGTGTAACTGAAATATTTATTTTTTTTAAAAAAAAAAAGCTTCTTTGCAACTGATAAAATGAAAATCGAAATTCTCTTACGGGAGGAATAGTGGATTTAACAGTGACGGTAAAAAAAAAGCATTCAAAACTGAAAATCGCTCCACACCCAAAGGAAACAAAAATGAGGGAATTAAAAATTTTTAACTACTTTTGACGAACTTATTTCCCTCAACATGAATAACGGAATACGCTCACCTATAATCTTAGTTTCAAAAAAGGTCGTCCCAGCAATTTAATTTTGCAAATGCAACGAAAGTATCTTGAAAACGCACCAAAAATCTTTTCTTTCTTGTGTGTGTTTGCGAAATTATTTTGGAAAGTAAGGATCAAAAATCATATGAACTTACACCGTAATTT